TTTTTTTTTTTTTTTTTTTTTTTTCCCACTCCTGGGATGTTACCGCAGAAGCCAAGAAGAGGCCTTTGAGTTTCAAAGACTCTGAGATACACCCAGCCCAAGGGGCATGAAGGGGGCATTCAACCCAAGGAGCCCTTACCCAGGGGAGGGCAGAGCAGATACCTGCTTGGACCCCAGCAGAGACCAGGCAGGACTGGGGGCCTCCTGGGGCCCACCAGCATGGACAAGTGATGTTCCCAGCCCCAAGGCTATCGGACGGGGACCATTGGACTGACTCGTCCCCAAGTGCGCTGCCCTCCCCCAGCAGTGCGGGGCTCACACTGGAGATACGAGTGAGTTAAATAAAAGCCCATCGGTCCACTGCATCCCGGCGCAGGTAAGCTACCCCGTGTCCTCACGAACCACGTGCTCTAGTCGGGCAGCAGGCTGAGAGCGGCGTGGGAGCGGTCGCCGTGGTCGTCCCAGCCATCCCCGGACACGTTCCCATTTTGCAGATGGGGAAACTGAGGCTTGCTCATCCACAGCCAAGTAAATGCCAAACCGGGATGTGAACTCAGGTCAGCCTGCCTCCTGCAACAGCGCTCTTTGCCCCACGGCGCCCCATGGACGTCTGGAGAGGGCGTTGTGCCACAGGTGGAAGAGGTGGGCTGGGTGCCCTTCTGATCTGAAAGTCACCGGTTTAAATGCTTCCTTTGGCTCAGCCAGTGATGCCTGAGCACCAGGCACCCGGGGGAGTCAAAGGTGGATGGGAGGGTGAGGCTTGGGGTAGAGAAGCCGGAGGGAGGGGATGGGGTTGCACGAGGTAGGGAGGCAGCTGGGAAGATAGGAGGATACACCATGAGGAGAGAAGCAGAGGCCACAGGATGGACGGGTCCTTCTGCCTAGGGGCCGGTGGGCATCCCCCGGGGCCACAGGAGGCCTTAAACAGAGACAGGTGGGCAGGGAGGGAAGAGCTGAGTGTCAGGCAGCTTCAGGGTTGAGGCACCATGGGCTCTCGGAGGGGAGACATCTGCAGGGTCAGGGTCACGGATTTGGGGCTCAGGAACCCATCAGATGCCGGTTTGGCATCATCATGGGGCAGGTGGGAAAGGGTGCTGCAGGAGCCCTGGGGGCAGTGCCATGAAGTGTGAGTGGAAAGGAGGCAGGGACAGAGTCCTGGGAGACACTGGCATTTCAGGGTGGGGGAGGGCCCGAGCGACTGGAGGGACTCAGGGACGGTCACACACCCATATGTTCATTCATTCCGCAGCCGTTTGGAACACCTACCCTCTGCCAGGCACTGTTCTGGGCTCTGGGAACTCAGTAGTGAACAAAGCAGATGTGATCCTTGCCCTCCTGGAGGGCACAGACCAACAGGAATGCTCTAAGAATGGGTAGTGATAAGTGCTAAGAGAGAACACCAAAGCCAGGTTGAGGGGATACAGAGTGACAGAGGGTTATTTTAAATGGGGTGGACAGGGAGGGCCTCTCTAAAGAGGTGACATTTAAGGAGAGACCTGAGGGAGGTTGGGTGAGCCATGTGGGCATCTGGGAGAGGAGTGTTCCAGAGACTAAGGATTTTCTTTTTATTCCAAAGAGATGGGAGTCCCAGGATGGTTTTAAGCAGAGGAGGGACAGGATCTAACTTAGGACCCCTCTGTCTGCTGAATGAATGAACTGTGGGGGCCAGGGTGGAAACAGGGAGCCCAGGGTGGCTGCCATGATGACCGCCCAGGTAGGAGATGGAGGTGGTCCAGAGTGGGGCAAGGTAGGGGAAGGGGTAGGGAGGTAGGTCAGAGCAGGCATGCTTGGTGGATGAGGGCTTGCTGATGGAGACAGTTTCTGGAAGGATGGTGCTGGCCAGCAACATTGAATTTGTCAGGAGATCAAGTATGATGAAGACCGAGCCATGGCCATTGGATGTGGGAGGTGACTTTTGGGGGAAGGAGTAAGTGGGATGTGAGGAAGTGGAGGCAGACTGTGTGGACTTCTGAGACCCAGGCCAGAAGTCAGATAGTGTAGGTTGGATAAGAGGCTTGTTTGCTCTACTCTTCCTTCTCTCTCTCTCTCTCTCTCTTTTTTTTTTCCCATGGAAGATACTTATATGGGACTAAACACTGAAGGGGGAAGAATCAGCAGAGGGGGAGTACAGAAGGGGACAGCTGGCTTGGGGAGGTTCAGGGGCTGCAGGGGGATGGGATCTACATCCTAGAAAGGAAGAGTGACCTTGGCCCATAGAGGAACCCCTACCCTCTGAGCTGGAGAAAGGCTCTGGGGACTGGTGGACGTACGGGTGAATCTGCAGGTGTGGGGCAGGCAACTGAAGAGTGGCTCTCCCTTTGTCCTCATTTCTCATTGAAGCAGGGAGCCATTGGTCTGGTGGGAGGGTGGGGGACAATAAAAACGGAGGCTTGAGGAGGAGGTGAGGTTTGAAATGGCCCTCGTGGAACCAGAAACACACAGATTTCAGAGCAGCACGGAGCCCCCACTGGGTTGGCTCCAGTGCGTGAGGCCAAGAACTCCCTCAGGAGGGATCTAGAGGTGAGATGTGGCAAGCCGACAGGGCAGGCGAGAGGGAGGGCAAGTGGGCAAGGGACAAGGAGAAGATGGTGAGTTGGGGGCTGAGGAGCTAGATGGTTAGGGCAAGAATAAGACAGGAGGTTAAGTGTGGGTGCACACGAGTGTATATGTGAGTATGCACAAAGCAGTTTGGTTGGATACGTGTAGGGTAGTCTCTCCACCTTGGGGATAGATAAACCCAGGGTGTGCTCAAGGCAATCCTTCGGAAAGCAGGGGAAACTATCAGAACTTCAATGAACGTGATTTCGTACATCATCTTTTTGCAAATGGAAGGTTCCATTTCATTTTGTTTTATGCCCTGGACGTATATTAATATGGGTACGTGCGCAAAAATATTAAGTAAATATGCACGTATCAGGGGAGTGGACATTGTTTGCTGCTTGGGCACATGCTTTGAGCAACTTAGACACCAAGGAGTAAGAAGGCACTGATGCTTGGAGAGGCACCGTGTACTGTTGAATCCGTCTGAAGGCTCTAGGAAGCAGTCTACCTCCCTCCACCCCGTGCCACTGCTCAGACCGTCTTCTGCACCTGCGGCCCGGGGCTCATTCTCTCCCTTCCTTGCCGCCACTTAGAGGCTCCTGCCAACCTGATCTTGGAACCCACGGACGCCTTTCCCGCCCCCATGCCTGTGCAGGGCCAAACCTGCCTCATTTGCCTCTGTACTCGGTGCCTTGTTGAAGGCTTGGCACATGGCGGGTGCTGAGTGTCGACAGAAAGCACGAAGGCAAAAGGCCCTAGAGTGGCCCTGACCTTGGGCCAAAACAGCGAGGGGTGTCCGCAGGTCCTCACGCTCTGCCACCCAGTACCCAATTCATCAGCAGGACCGATGTTCCTCCGTCAGAATAAATCCTCATCTTCCCGGCCCAGTCCGGCTCCAGGCCCCTCTTACCTCTTGCCCGGTGGCTAAGCAGCCTTCTCCTCCGCATGCACCCTGCCCCCTGCCCCCTACAGTGTATTTTGTTCAAAGCAAGTCAGGGGTGTCTCCCCTGCTCAAAGCCATGCACTTGGCTCTGATGCTCAGAGCAAGAGAGGGCCAGAGTCCCCCCCCCCCCCCCCAGGGCTTAAGGTCCGGACACGACCTGCCTCCCCTCCCCTCTCAGATCTCCTGGTGCACCCCTTTCTCCCATCCTTCTCTGCTCCAGCAGCACTGGTCCCCCCGGTTCCCCAGGCACCCTGACAGCATTCCCACCTCACAGCCTTTGCTGCTCCCTTTGTAGCAAACGCCCCTCCCCGTGAGGTGTACCTGCATGGCCTCATAATTTTACTTCTTGCTTTGTCCAAACGCCACCGGAAGTCCTCTCACTACTCCTGGCCTCAAATAGCCACCCCACCACTGCTTGCCGTCTTCCCTCCTTCATTTTCCTTCACCATCTCACATAGCAGATTTTTATTGCACATCTCTTCTGGCCTCTTTCCCCCACCAGTCCAGCAGGGGACGTGGCTGTTCTGAGCCATTGTTACATGCCTGCAATCAGGATGGCCAGTCAGATCTGAGCCCAGATTTCTGCTGGATGAGCTTAATGAATGGCTGTGAGGGAGCTGTGGTTTCCAGCCCTGGACTGCCTAGCTGCCAGGCGGCACCAGGGCCATCCCTGCCCCTCTCCTCACTACCCCACCTGTGGCCACCTCCCAGAATAATGGCTGCCTGGGCCTGGCCTTTGTGCTGGGAAGGCCTCCGAGGACGTTCCCCTGTCCGTGGGGACAGGGCCCCTGCCGCCCACTGCCCCCTGGGTAGGCCCCACCTTACCTTCTGCAGCCACTGCTGTCTCCAGCACCTTCTCCAGCTGTCGCACTGCTGGGCCGGCCAGTCCCCCCAGGGTTCAGTGCAGCGGGCAGCGGGCAGCCTGAGGCTGTTGGAGCCCCGAAGGCCCTCGGGTCTGGGTGGGCAGGGTTCAGGCTCGGGCAGCACGAAGGTGTAGCTGCACCTGGCCGTGCTGGATGGTGCTCCCGGCGCCCGGTTGCCTCCTGCCCTCCGCTGGGCCACAGTCACGGCGGCTCACGGCGAGGAGGAGGCCGCCCAGCAGCATGGCTGCCGGGAGAGCATCCGAGATGCGGCGACAGACGGGTGCCTGGGTCAGGCCCCCCCCCACCCCGGCGTCTGCCCGGCCCGGGGCCCGATGCCTGCCCACCGAGCCTCCTGCAGCTGCAAAACCCCTGTTTTGGCCGAGCTCTGTCCAGGGCAGCTATTTATACTTGCGGCTTCCTCCCACCGCCTCTGCTCCCCGCCCCCGCAGACACCCCCACCCTTTCCTCCCCTCACCTGGCCTGAGGCTGCCTGGTCCCCGTGCACTGGGCCTGCTCTCCCCTGCTTGGCCTCGCCTCATTCATTATCCAGGGAGGCCTGGCCTCCTGTGAGAAAGAAACAACACACACACACACACACACACACACACACGCACGCACACACACACGCACAGACACAAACACCAAACCCCCAAAGCTGCCTGCTTCGGAAAACCAAACCCGGGTGAACCCTCTCTTCCTGTCTCTGTCTGTCTCTCTGTCTCTCTCCAACCTCCCTCCCCAAGGCTGGGATCTCAAGTTTCAGCTCCCCTTCCCCCTTCCCTCTCCCCCTCTACCTTCCCCCCCCCCCCCCCACCCACACACTCCGATTCCATGTTAGTGCTTGGAACATGAGCAAAGTGACCCCCGGAGAGAGCAAAAGGAGGGGGGCAGAGGGGTGAGGCTTGGAAGGAGGCAGAGAGTCCAATCTGTTTCTAGAGAAAGAGAAATTCCTTGCGAGGCCAGGGAAGTCGGCGCTCCCAGCAGGGAGCTGGCTCCCTTCCTCCCTTCTCCCGTGGGGCCTGGGGGATGTTGTGCCCTGGGGTGGCCCTGCTCAGCAGATGTGACAGCAGTGAGGGGTTGTCCTGTCCCGGGGCACACTGTTCTAGGACTGCCTCTGGCTGGAGGGGAGGAAATGGATTGCTTGGAGAATAGCTTCTGGTGAAGAAGTGTCGCTCCTAGCCCTGGGGTCAGAGGTGGCTGACTCCCCCGCCCCGGCTCCTGGGTGGCCGGCTGGGCTGACGATGTTATGATGTTATGCGTCCACATCCTGCCCCAGCGGGGTAGACCCCATCTCTTGAATGTATGTGAGTCCTCAGCCTGGAAACTGAGGACCTTCTGATTCGCTTGTTTACCTGTTTCCTGGTTTAAATCCTGGCTAGACCAGCTGTGTGACTTCGGGCGAGTCGCTTAACCTCTCTGTGCTTCTGTTTCCTCTTGGCCAACCGAGGAAAATAACACCACCCACTTCACAGAGTGTGAAAATTAAGTGAGTTTGAGCAGGGATGGCGGAGGGTGAGCGCTACATAAATACTTTCTATAGCTGTTATCAGCCTCATAGTTACTGTGTACTTCCCCTCCCCCAACCCACCAGCATGTACCGCCCACGAGAGCAGGACAGGACTTGTTTTGTGGGGACGTGGCGGGGGTGGGGGGTGGCGGAGGGCAAGAGGTACCCAGCAGTGGCTGCATCTCTCTCCAGGGCACCGCCTTCAGCCTTTCTCTGCTGCTTTTCCCAGAGTGGACCCCCACCCCCACCCCAGCTGTTTGCTATTGTTTTTTCCCCTTTGTTTTCCCAAATCCTAGGGAGTTTTGAATGGGGCAGGCTGCTTGGGGGCAGGGGGAACCAGGGGCGCATCCGGGGGACTGAGGACATTAAACCAGGTGTGTGGGGCTTTGGCAGGAAAAGGAAAGGCAGCTGGTTATCAGCCACCAGCATTCGCTGAACTTCCTGCGTGCTCCAGACCCTGCTTGCCCACCTCTGCCTCAGTTGTCTCGGCTGTAAATGGGGTCACACCACCCCCGACCTTGCGAGGGAGACGCATGTCAATGCCGGCCACGGGTTTATCCTGGCGTCTGGCACCGGCGAGCCCAGAGTGCAGGGCGACTGTCTTGTGCTGGTGGAGCCCCGCGGTGCGAGCCCAACAAGGCAGGTGCCGCGATCGTCCCCATTTTACAGAGCAGGAGAGTGGTTTGCCCGAAGTCACACAGCGTGGAGATGCGTGGCCTGGAGCTGGGGCAGGAGGGCAGGCTCGTGCATTTAATCTTCCTGATGGAGAGAATGAATGACTGCATGAGATGTAATTTTCTTCCCATGGTCCCGTTATTACGCTCATGGATCTCTGTACAGAAGAGGAAACAGGATTACCTGTTTACTGGAGAAATGTGGGTAGGATCAAAGGAAGAGTCTGGAAAGCTTGGGAGATGGCCCTGGCAGCCTCTGCACCTTCATTTCAGTGCTTCCTTCTCACCTCGGGGCCTTTGCACATGCTGCTGTCTCTGTCCACCCACCCTCACCCCCACCTTTCAGCAGTGTTCCAGTTACTGTGGCCCTCAACCAATTACACCAACACTCAGTGGCTTAAAACAAAAATAACAATGGGGGGGGTGTGCCTGGGTGGCTCAGTCAGTTAAGCGACTGACTTGCGGCTCAGGTCATGATCTCGCAGTTTGTGAGTTCGAGCCCCGCGTCGGGCTCTGTGCTGACAGCTCAGAGCCTGGAGCCTGCTTCAGAGTCTGTGTCTCCCCCTCTCTCTACCCCTCCCCTGCTCATGCTCTGTGTCTCTCTGTCTCTCAATAATAAATAAACGTCAAAAAAAAAAAAAAAAAAACGCAAACATTTATTACCTCTCAGGGTTTCTATGGGTCAGGAATTCAGGACCAGCTCAGCTGGGCCGTCTGCTTGGGTCTCTCATGACCCAAAGCATGACACGGCCACTCAGGGCTACAAAGGCGCTTGTCCCCAGAGGGCCAGGTGGAAGTCACATTGCACTACAAGACCTAGGCTTGGGTAAGTCATTGAGCGGAGCTTCTGGCGTATTCTGTCAGTCAGTGTCTGTCCAGTTCAAGGCAGGGAACATAGACCACACCCTTCGACGGAGGTCACTGTCCCAAGAAGAGCACACAGGACGGGAGGTGCATTGATGTAGCCACGGCTGGGAAACGCAACAGCCAAGGGGACTGCCACACGCTCCCCACCCCGGCCCCTGAGCCCCCTTTCACCGTCCCACCCTTTGTCTTAGCCCTTCTCAAGGTTCTAAGAGGTTAATTACTTGCGTCACTAACCACTCATCTCTCTCTGTTCGCCCCCAGTGTTTGTTACGTAGTATGTTCTTAGGAAATAATCTGCCGAATGAAGGAACAGGGTGAGTGAATGAACGAAGGCAGTGCTTGGGCCGGGTTCTCCGGGTCCGGCCGACGTGGAGCAGGAGGCTGGGACGCTGGGGAGCCTCCACGGGGCTGCGCTGACACAGCAAGCCCGCCTGACACGGACATGGGGGCAGGTGGCTGACCGCTTTGGGCTGCAGATTCCTCCTCGCGGTGAGAGCCTGCAACAGACCCTACCCGCGTCTCCCGGAGATCTCGCAGAGGTGAGCTCCAGGGAAAGCTTACACACTGCCAGGCTGCTGAGGATCTTTCAACACAGGTCCCCAAGGCCGGTGTCTGAGGGAGGTTGGACACAAATCTAGCCTGGAGGCCGAGGGCCTACAAAAGGAACCCCCAGCCCTCAGGAAAACGGGAGCCTTCCATCCCCGGGAGAAGCAGCTGGTGCCAGGGTGGCTGCAGGAGGGAGCTGGTGGCAGGACCCAGAAAGGGAACCGGAAAGACATCATCCGGGGTCCGTTGGCAAGTGCTGCTGCTGAAGGCAGCACGGAACTTTGTAGCCGGAGGGGCCTTTGGTATCCTGGGCGCACTGCGAGCGGACCCGTGGCCCCCACCTCACCTGTGAGCGCCAGACCCCGAGCCATCCGCCTTCTGGACTTGGACCTCAAGGCCTCAAACAGAACTCCCCATTTTCTATTGCCCCCCCACGGTGCCCCAAACGGACTTCTGGACTCTTCGGTCACTGGTAACCGCCCAATCTTCGCCAGGCACCCGGGACGGAAACCCGGGAGCAGGGCTGGCTTCGTGGGCGTGTGACCCCAGCGGTCACACAGGGCCCACGCTTGGAAGGGTAATGTTCTGTGTAATGTTCTGCTGTCACTGTCTGGAGATTCTTAGGAAATTCTGAACGAAGGATCTGGCACTTTCGTTCTGCGCTGGACCCCTCAAACTAGGTAGCCAGTCTCGCCGGGGGGACAGGAGCCTCCCGTAACCCCTGCCCCCCCCCTCACCCCCTCTCCTCCCCCACCAATCACACTTGCTCTTCCAGTGTGATCCTGTAACTCTCTCTCCCCCTGCCCCCTCTTCGCTATTCTGGACATTCCAGAGCCAGCCTGTCTCGGTTGGAATGTTGGCTTTCTCGCCTCCAAACGTGTGCTTGATCTGCCTGTCGCTCAGTTTCTGCTCCCGTCAAATGGGGTGGATGCTAGTAACCCGATAGGGTTGTCAAAAGGACGAAAAAGCTGATCCCCGCAAAAGACTTAACACGGAGCCTGGCACATGCTAAGTGCTCCATCCGTGGTAGCCCAGTAATGTCATCATGTCCCCGCCGTCACTCTCCAGGTTGCCTCTGCTTGGACAATCCTTTCCACCTTTAGTCGCTGGTTTTCCTTCTGCCTGTCTTTTGGGTCTTATCTCAGGCTTCACCACCTCCTCCGGGAAGCCTTCCTTCATGGCCTCCCTACGTCACTAGGAATAGGCCCTCTACCTCTGGGATCCCCATGCTCCTTGCCTGTGTGTCCCCCGTCAAAGCGTCATCCTGCATTATGAAGGCTTGTTTGCAGACTTTTGTCCCCCTCTAGTCTGAAAACCCTTCCAGATCACTGACCACCTTTCCATTTCTGTGTCTGTTGCCTGGCCTAGGGTCAGGTTCATAGTGGGTTCTCACGAGCGTTTGTTGAATGAATAGTCACCACTCTAGGGTGGGGGCTGGAGCTGGAGTCCCAAAGTGGAGGCTAAGGAAGTCACCCTTTCCAGGGCAGGGGCAACAGGAAGTTTCTGTCTCGGGTACGTCTGTTTGGGTCTTGTCTCCAAATATGTGCAACAACCACCCCCTCTCCCCAGTTTATTTTCCCTCTGCTAACCTGTTGTCATCATGGAGCCAGAGCATGGAGAAAATCCTTCAACCCACCTGGAGAATTTG